AGAGAACATTGGAATTAATATGAAATAAACTGTAGCCGTGTTCTGATGCTTGTGAAACCATTCAAAAAAAAATAAATGGCTCCATTCGAAAAAGTATTTGAAAAATAGATTTTTTTTTGTGCATTTTGATATGTCTCACAATTTCCTATGACATTTTGTATTTCAGGATTTTATCGTACAATGGTCAATACAACTTTTGTAGAGAATTGAGCGGAGAATCTTTTGGTAAAAAAACTAAGCACTATCGAGCTCATGGAATACAAGAAGTTTTAGAAATACTAACTTTCTAATATATTCTGGCCCACCCAATATAACGAGATGTTATCGATATATGGTCTCTCATCGGATATCAAAGACGTTTATCACGTTCTGTGACTATTGCTGATTAGTATTACTGACAATCTGTATAGAAGTCTGACTAGCAAATGTAAGAGAAAGAAGTTAAATTTATTGCCAGTTACTTTACTATATGACCAATAACGGATCTGTTACTGGTTACTTAGTGACTTAACAGTAACTTACCACTCCTAAGCAATTGTCATGCTCCGTGACTCATGTTTATCAGGATATATGAAAGAAGAATAAGGGAGAAGTAAATTTTTGTTACAATATTTAATAAAAAATTCAAGAAAAATGATTTTGAGTAAGTCTTAATAGGTTTTTAGGGGCTAATTAAAAAAATTCATCTTACATATGAACTCCATTTGATAAATCGTTCGGTTCTATGTTGATTTTGATTTTATCGACTGATGGAAGTGATCGATCGTCTATACTTTGCAACAATTTTTTTTCCAACTGTTTATAATGTATGCTGCTATTTCCATCATTTTCTGTGGCAGTACCTACTTCCAGTGACCAATGCAATTTGTGATATTCAGAAGGAATATCCAGCTAAAAAAAAATACTTAGAAATACAGTTAATAGAAATCAACTTATCTATGCCATACCTTTAACTTTGGATAACTAGGTACATTGTTTTTGATATGGCATTTTCCTTTAATCCAAGAACGACGTGGGTACTTTTGCCTAATCCTAAGTTACAAATGTTTCTATACAGTTGTTTTTTCAGTAGGAAAACACTTACATTTTTGGTTTCAATGGTCCAAACACATCGCATTTCGCACAACGCCTATGTTCAGAATGTACATTCTCTTCAAAGTAAAACTGGACTCGTTTTTTCAAGTCATGTAATACTTCTAAAGAGAATAGAGCATTTTAATGAATCCTCAAGATCTTTTATTATCGCTTTACTGCCTATTTCTACTCACCATCTGTAATACGTATCTCTTGGTTGTCAATTGGTTCAGCTGCTAAATAGAATAAAGCAAACAACTAAAAATTTATAAAATTCGCATATTTGTCATACCTGGTACACGTTTTTCTTTCATGTTGTCAGCTGTTATTGATATACTGAGATCGGATCGTACATAACACAAAAGATAGACTGATTTTTCCTTGTCGAATACAAAATCAATCTTTCTAAACGAGTCGTCATTTGCTTCATACCATTCGTTTGTGAATTCATTTTTTACGTAACAAATATAATGACCATCTTTCATATCATCGCCAACATGAATAACGATGGCGAAAAGTTGATAACTTTTTTGTTCTTCAGTGATCTTCACCAGACAATCTTCACTTAACCATTGGTCGATATGTAATAACTCTGGGTATGCCACCGCCGAGTGTAATTTTCCTAGACCATTTGCTTTAAATCGTTTTAGTGAAATTAATAAAACATTTGGTACTGAGAAAATTTCCATTTTAGTCTCGCGACTCTGTTTAGAGTTACATGATTCACAGAAATATGCATTATTACCAGTTAGACACTCTTTTTTACAATAGTTGTTTAAACAATCCGATAGTTCACCATTTGTTTCTGATACAGGACATTCAAGGATATATTGAGGCTCGCACAAAGAATATGGTAACTTGCATTTTCCACACTGACTGACACGTTTAATTTGAAATCGAAAGATTTCGGATAAAATTGATGGTTCTTCAATATTGTTAAACAAACTTAATAAGAATTCATTACAATCTTGTTGAGTATTTTTTGTAAACTCTGATGATAATGATTCCAGTTCACTGTAAAAGGCACTTGGCATAAATAGACCTTTATTCGTTCTAAATTGTTTACACATGCCTCTCAATGTTTCTTCGATCAAGCAAAGAGAACAAGCTTCCAACAACCGTTGACCTGAATGAAGAAAAGTTTTGATGTAAACGATGGATTGGCTAGATTTACAAAGATTATGATAACCGTAGGCATTTTAACCAGTTTATCACGATGGAAAATGTTTTTGAGAAAATAACAGTATTGTATAAAGGTTGCAAAAAGTAAATTGAGGTGGAGAAATTCGAATCTACAAAGAGTTTCTCGTAATGGTAAACAAATTTTTTTTCACTTTGGGAAATGGTGATGCATATAAAGCATTGCTATTTTCTCAAAAATCCTTTCTCTCGTGAAAAATCAGTTAAAACACCTACGGTTATCATCACCATTGTACCTGGAGGACGGGCAGAGTAGCAATTTGTTCGTTTGTCGAGAATCAGTACCATATTCGAGTCTTCCTCCCAGTATCATGTTTGAATAATTTCCTTCTGTTCTACATGTCTGAAGATACTCATTCGTTGATGGCTTATTCATTTTGCTCACATAGCAAGATGATTCGATTCTACAAACTGTTGCATAGGACTCATATTCCGTTTGCTTCAATAGCTTTTCATTCTTCATAAGTTACTTGTAATCAGCACTATATCTCTTTACACCGTATGATGGGTAAATGATCAAATAATTCGCGTGAATTTAAACATTTTTAATGTAAGTTTAATTATATCTTTATATCTCTTCTTTTAATGGCAGCGATTTTAATCAGGAATCCTTTCATCTAAAAACTACGTTAGTTAGACCCATTCAGGTGATATTAGGAAATTTTGTTCAAGCGTCAATCTTTACCTTATTAAGTTATGACAAGAAGGTTAGATAGACAAGGGAAGACACACTTACATGTTTTCAGATGGTTGTTTTTAAAAATCCAATCTTTCAATAATGTTGTATGGGCTAAGACTTGTAAAATTACATTCATATAACAAGTATTTCCCATATTTTTTAAACCACATTGAATGAATAATGATGCTGCTGATTCGACTAAAAAACAAAGCAATAAATAATGTTATTAAATAAACGCATTGAAAAATGACTACATCGCTTTTATATAGTAGTCAATTAGTGCATCTAAACTTGTTGTTTCTTTTTTATGCTCAAAACTAAATAAGCTGTACAAATGGGAATTTTGTTCATCATGTCAATCGCAGTTTCTATTTTATACTTTCATGATTTAGAAATGATTTTTCGAAAAATTAAGGTCAAATAATATTTTTGTACATTTAAATATTGTAATACTCTGATATTGGTCAAGGATTGAAATGAGCCTCAATGCATTTTTCAAATTGATGTAAACATTTCAGTTGTTTCGTTGTAGCAACTTTTAAGGAGTTTACAAATATCTTTTAGGCAAATCAATTTTAAGTCGAATGTCATAACCACAGCATAAGACGATGCAGTATTTAGGGGTTCTTGTCCTGGGTACTCTTCTTTGGCTTCCTAACTTAATAGAACTATGCTTAATGAAGCGTCAGATCACTTCATAAATATCGGATCTCTATTTTTCTGTAACTATTTCTTTTTCAATGCTGACTATAACTATTATTACAATAAGACCAAGGAAGTTTAAAACTTGCAAACATATTTTCCAATTTCTCTAAAAAATGTTTGCGCCTAGAAGTATAAGTTACGTCCAATAACCAAAAAATGCGTAGATCTATAAATGAAATGTTATTGAAAGAACAAAACTTATCTCCAATAGAAAAGGAAGTCATAAGTATATTAATTTGTCGATTGCTCTGCCTAACAATGTTCACGTTTAACAGCACTGTTTTCTCTTTTTTCTGGTCCTACACCCTATCCATACAGTGAAAATCTGGAAAAAGGCTGATGTTTTCGCCTGATGAACCGTGATTTTTTTCAATTAACTGTTAAAAATGATTCGGCTTTGGTGATTTGAGTATTTTCAGCTGATTATCGAAAAACTTTTTTTTTTGAAAGAGGCTTACACGAAGATTGATCAGACGAGAGTAAATAATTAGTTGATAATGGATCACCGCTGTCATTGATGTTCAATTGATGCTTTTTTGAAATTGATATCTTTGTAGGAATTTTGATACTTTTATGGATCTCTGAAATACGAGAAGATATTACAAGTAAAAATCAAATACAAATCGCATACGACTAGTTGAATTAAGTTCTGACATAGTTGAAGGCACCGGCATGTGATGGCCATTTATCACAGTTGTTAAATTTGAAGTATCCATTTTGTCCGTCACCGGGCTAGGTATCGTAGTAGTTCGTTGAAACTCTAAAGAAACAAATGAAAATTTGTGATCCCTTTTTCCTTGATTTAAAGATAGAAAGTTAAGTTTGGAATGTTTCTTACTGATCGAGCGAAGATGCTACTTTTGAAAAGTTCCACGCAGTAGTATTTAGAGGACAAATAAGCAAGTTATTCGCCACTTATTTCTCAAGTTGCTTCATATTTCGCGCCATAATATACTACCATATGGCATCGATTCTAATTTAAAAGCTTCTCAAAAGAGGAAAGCTCTGGATCTCATTCGTTTTTTAATACTGTTGTGCCAATCAATTAATTCGACTTCACCACTATCATGCTCTCTTTCTCCCTGAATATTTTCCTGATACACTGTATGATATGTGAAATATCTTTATTTTTTTCATATGCATAGTAGCTCTAGAAAGCTTTAGATTTTTAATCGGACTTATCGTCACTGGTCAGTCTCTTTATTTGATACGAATAACTGAAAGCAGTTTTTGTTAGTTAGCGTTTAATCGTTAGCTACTGTAGATACCATTGACTTGATAAAGTAACGATAGTTTGTCATCTTTACTCAGATTATATCTCGCTTATGCTCATGCATTTTCCAGTAAGCAGATAAAACTCAAAACGCCACAGAGAAGGGAAACAAATTTCTCCTTTGATATTTTGACAAATTTAAAGTTGAAATATTATCGATTACAGCACCATGAATTTTCCACTAGAATCGGGAAACGTTTGTGATCTGTATTAGTTTAAGTACCTATTTCAATAACGAAACCCTTTCCAAGAACATATGATTCGGTGGATCCAAAGCAATTCTAATTTTAATTATATTCTGATAGGACTGCAACATGGTTCGACGCTTCATCTACTCATGTATGTGCCGTTTTTGTACAGAGGTCTTCTGGCTAATATTTTGGCACATTTCTTTGGAGAATAAGCTTCATAGAAACTGTACGTTCCTTAATGACATTGTAAAAGATATTCAAGTGCAGCATGTGTGATCTGTTGTCAATAACTTATGCCTATCTTTGTGAGTGACTAATTTTCAACAGAGAGATAATAGATCGTAACTTACCCTGAATATCGAAGCGTGGATTCAGAACCCACGGTTTATTGTTTTTCTCCTCGGTTTTTTCATATCAGCAAGACTTTACTCCTTCTTTCTAATTATACAGAATGCCATAAGCAAGAATTTCATGTAGTAACTTTTTATTCCATTTAACTTCATACGACAGCTTGCCGAATCAAAAACTATTTCTGTAATATCCCAAAAATACAAACATTTTTGGAAGTAAAACTTGAATTAAGAACAACATATCAACCGTAAATATTTCCCAAAAAATAGTCTCACGATAGAAGAATCGAATCATATAATGAAACTTTCAAAATTTATATCAGAGAAGCAACATGACGTCAAATGCACGATTCGTAATGATTAGTCAAGTATTGAACACTGAGACTTACTTGAACTTTCTTCGTTGAAGTTGCTGCTGGGATCTAATAAAAATAAATATATTTGTGTGGATTGGTAAAAAATTAAATCTTTCTTGTATCTTACCAGAATCTCTAGACGAATGTTCATCATCAGGAACCTTAAAATCAGTGAAAACATCCATGGATAATAGTTGCTTGATGGCAAGGTCATTCTCCGTCATGATGTGCGGACACTGAATAGAAGACAACACATTACGTGTATCTCCGCCAGCGTTAACATTTTGCTGATTATCTGTGCCTAAATCTGAACAAAAAGATAGAGCAAACAAAAAAGGAGAACAACAATTACAATACATTTCTGCAACGTGGACTGAAGTGATTCAGACACTGATAACAGCGGTGGTATTAGTGCCAAGTCTGAAATATCAGCTGATTGAGTATGGATTAAAAAGAAATGAAAGCTGTCTTGTATCTTCTTACCGAAATCTTCAGGCAGAGTTTCATTACGATGTATCTCAAGATCATCGAAAAAATCACTGGAAGGTACTTGAATTAAATCTTGTTCATCCTCCATCATGGTGCACGGAAGCAAACGGGAACACTCAACATTGCCTGTGTCTTCACCAATATTGACTTCATGCTGATTATTCCTGCCAAAATCTGAACGAAAAGATAGAACAAACAAAAACAAAAATATCACAGCAGAGTTACAGTACATTTCTGTTCGAGAGTTTGAAGTAAAGTAGTAAATGATGATGATGGTGATGTTTCTATCACGCCTGAAATATCAGTTGATTGAGTATGCAAATAGGACATTTAATATACGTACTTTGATGTAGCCCAATCTCGTTGAAATGCGATGGAGTATCATCGGAAATTAAAAAGAAATTACGACCGTGTACATTTAAAAATATGAGATTGTTCAACTTACTTGGATATTCAGATGTCATTTGACTGACATCTTGTGCAGTCTTCTTTCTCCAAATAACTTTTAGTTTGATCGACTCTTGGTCGGACCCACCTGATTGTGTGCCCGCCATTTCGTTATTAAGACCAAATGGATTGTTTTCACTCAAATAGACGTCATTTAACTTGAAATATCTATCAAACTCTTGATTAAAGATTTGCATGTCAAAGTCATACATTGATAGAAGATCTTCATCATATTTTTTAACATAACCATAAATTTCATCAATTGTCGTTGTTGGACCAAACACCTTCAAGTGGGCATATTCGCGATTATATCGCGGATAACAAAAATGTTCTATCACAGTACG